AGCAGAGCTTACCTCAAAATTCGGATCAACAGAATCTACAGAAGTCCCGCAAAACTATTAAAAAGGTATACATAACAAAAAATAAATAAAAGAGAGATTGAGAGAGATTGAGAGAGGGAGAGGATGGGGATAGAAAGAGAGGGATGGGGAGGAGGGGAGAGGGAAAAGATAGAGATTGAGAGTGTGAATACTAGGATACTGCTAACGTTTACATTTCACAGATAGGACACATATTCATAATTCCTGCAAGTTATACATAAATTGATTAGGTCTATATCTGATCCAAGGAGAACTGTTACAGTTTAAAAAAACAGAGCCGCCAGTTTATCTCCCAGTATAATTCTGTGCATTTTGACACCAAGATCATCGAGGCCTATGTAAAACATGCTGTTGCTGAAATACAATTTCTAGTGCTTTAGTGCAGGGTCAATGACCTTTGACCCTCAAAAAGGAAATTTCCCCCTCCTCTCTTTTAGGAATAAATAATAACCCCATTCCTGCCACATTAAGTTGAAATTAGCCTTTTCGATTTGTTTGTGCTCATTTTTACATAATATCGTCATTTCCCTGTTACTTATAGGACATTTTAGTGATAAGACGTATATTTTTTACATTTGACCTCATTTTTGGAGGTCAGGATTTTATTATAAGGGTCAGTAGTTATTCTATGTCATTTTCTTCCGTAATCCTGTGCAGTTTGACACCAATATCATCTATATACCTTATTTTGTTGCTGAGATACAATGTATTGTGTTTTAGTGCAAGGTCAATGACCTTTGACCCTCAGAAAGGAAATTTACCCCTCCCGCTCTGCTCTTGGAATAAATAATAACCCCCATACCCCCATATCCTCCAAAATAAGTTGAAATTAGTTTCTTTGATTTGTTTGTGCTCATTTTTATATGATATGGTAATTTTACTGTTATAAATATGACATATTTTAGAGATAAAATAGTTTTTTGACCTCTGACCTCATTTTCGGAGGTCAAGATTTTATTCTAAGGGTCAGTAGTTATTCTATGTCATCTTCTTTTGTAATTCTGTGCATTTTGACACCAAGATCATCTATATACCATATTTTGTTCCTGAAATACAATTTTAAGTGATTTAGGCAGAGGTCATTGACCTTTGACCTCTAATAAAAAAATTCTCCCCAACCCCCATACCTCCTCCCTTTTTTTTGGTAGTTGTCCATACCCATAACTACCCAAATCAGTTGAAATTAGCTTCTTTTAAATTTTTTCACAGATGAACCTTTAGTTAGGGATACTAACTACCGTCACTTCGTGAAAACAAGGACGAATTGAAGTGTATTATTTTGTTATTTGTGTGTATTGGGAGTCAAGAGGGATGACAGACCGAATAATATGTGAGATTATAGGACAGACTAATTCCTTGAAATGCTAGAGCGTTGTAATGGCAGCTAGGCTAAAGCCGGGTAATAATAAATCCGCCTCGCAATAGAATTTCAAGATAGACAGCGCTATAGAAATGCCTATTATTATCATCATCATTATTTATTAAACAAAACGACAAGTCAATACTTTGTTGCACAGTCGCATCTTAAATTTAATGCATTGTCCTTACTCTAGCTGCATCTTACTTTCTGCATCCATTTTTCATGTCGCCATGCAAGTTCCACCAACTTACCGAGTTAAATTCTTGGTTCATAAACTTTGTCATTCATTATTATTAAAAACATAATTACTTTATGGGAGTTGAAGGCATTCCATTAAGATGTCTAATTTGACATGCTTAATACCCGGGAAAGATTGACAGTTTCAGCGCCTCCAGAAAACTCAAAAGATTAGCTTTCATTTATTCATACCTAGTGACCCCCAATGACGTGATGTAAAGCATGCTTTTGCCATTACCAACACGGAGCCACTGGCGCCAGTTAGGAGAAGTGACACTTAAATTACATTGCAACCTCCGGATATTATCTGGCTAATAAGTTAAATACCACAATGTCCATTAAGGCTTTCAAGAAGCCATGGTCATACTGCGTTCATTTTATCGCTCGTGGTACTCACTCATAATGCAATCCCCTTGCCCCCCCCCCTTCTCTCTCTCTCCCTCTCTCTCTTTCTCTTTCTTTCTCTCTATCTCTCTACTCTTCCCCTATCTATCTCTCTCCCTCCCCCTCTCTCTCTCTCTCTCTCTCTCTCACACACACACACACACCCTCTTTCCCTATCTATCTCTCTCTCCCTCCTCTCTCTCTCTCTCTCTCTCTCTCTCACACACACACACACACACCCTCTTTCCCTATCTATCTCTCTCTCCCTCCTCTCTCTCTCTCTCTCTCTCTCTCTCACACACACACACACACACCCTCTTCCCCTATCTCTCTCTCATTTCCCCTCTCTCTCACATACCCTCTTCCGCCTAGCTCTCTCTCTCTCTCTCTCTCTCTCTCTCTTTTCTCTCTTTATCTCTCTCTCTCTCTCTCTCTCCTTCTCTCTCTCTCACACCATCTTCCCCTCTCTCTCTCTCTCTCTCTCTCTCTTTCTCTCTCTCTCTCTCCCTCCCTCTCTCTCTTTTGTTCCTTGTCTCAGACCCACTAGTCATGTTTATATAACATGTCTTTTGTTTTGTGTGTGTGGGTGTGTGTTTTGTGGGTTTTTTTGGCAACTACTTTTTTTCTTCCGTTTCGTCGGTAGAGATTGAATTCTTTTTATTCTTGCGCTTGTTTATAGGAACTACTAGCACATATGAATATTTTCAGTTATTGGAATCGGCAATTCTTGTAGTGTAACCAAATCAGCCTTTTCACACACAGCTAAAATTCATCGTATCTAGAGATGATTAGAATCACTCAACAGTTTTAAACATGTTTATAGACAAAATTTCCCAGTGTGAACATCGTTTATACGATGTTGGGATAGATACGAAGTCGCGATCCATACGCCCCTAAAAGCAGGCTGCAGATACGAGGTTCGTATCTAGAGAGCTTGACATTTTGTGTGTGAAAGGAAATTCGTGTTTAAACGTGTTTAAACTGGATGGAGCGTGCGCTTTGATTGATATGACATGACCTTCAATGCGCAATGGCGCTACTGCGCATTTTACGAGCAGTAGTTAATCACGAAACTATGAACGATCGCAACGAAATTTCTGTGTGTGAAAAGCTCGTGATTAGTTTAAACACGTTTCAAACACGTTTATACTAATCATGTTTATAGAATTTTAGCTGTGTGTGAAAAGTTAATGCACAAGTCTTTGTGAAGTGCCTCAATACAAATTATTTCATTCACCTGATAAGAATAATAATATTTCAATAGACAGAATGCAAACTGCATATATTAAGTGTTGCTTGGTAGGTCAAGCCATAATGTTTGTCCTACCTGGCAACAACTAATGTATGCAGTTCGAATTCTGTCTATTGAAATACTATTATTCTTATCAGGTGAATGAAATAATTTGTATTGAGGCACTTCACAAAGACGTATGCATTAAATTTGGTTACATTACGAAAATGGCCTATTGTACTATTAATTGTAAAGCAATAATGCTGACACTGTAATTCTGAACATTCAAAGCAGATAATTACACTACCTAAAGTATATTCTGTTTCGTTACCATGGTTATGCTTGTGAATGAATACTGCCTTTAGAGTGAGATGGATCAGAGGTCCCTATCCCGGTTAAGATGGTGATGTTTAATTATTTCTGTAAGTTCTGTATTAATTGCATTAGCCAAATACGTGTATCAAGCCAAATTTTCCATATGATTTAAGCATTATTCGCTAATAAACTGCCTATTCATTGATGTGAAAATGAAAGGATACATTATAAGACGTCTTACCATAAATGTTGAAGTATAAGTTTATATACCTGTAGCTCAGTTTATTACCAATATTTTTTTTAATGACCACATTTAAAACTAGGTTTGTGCATAACTTTCGTCCAATTGGTAACATTTTCTCATTCTGACATTTTTCCGGTATACCTCTGATGGATTTAGCATTATTTTAGAATTTCACGAATTGCGGCGCCGCTGTAGCTTCTTTGCACGTTAGCCCCTCCGTTATACGTGTTGACACCTATAGATTCAATCTACCAAAATCAGGGCCCCGTCTTACAAAGAGTTACGATCGATCCAAATCAATCGTAAGTCCTCCAATCAATCGCAAGTTTGCAGTCTCCTATCTCTTATGTACATAGTTACGATTGATATCAATCGCAAATAAGTTACGATTGATATCAACTCTTTGTAAGACGGGGCCCAGGTTAGGAATGTATCATAGTGTCAAGATTATTAACGCATTGTAGGCGTGATATTTAAGGACGATCACCAAAGCAGAATATGTCCTTAAAGGAGAAAGTGATTGGATTTCCAGAAAGCAAAATATGAGTCTGGTATGGCTTCTAAAGTAGCATCATTGATCTAGAAAGTCTATTCAGGGACCCTTCTCATACTAGATAATGATTCTATAAGGTTGTAAATACTTTAAATTTGATTCATGAATCATGTCCGTCCACCAAAGTGAAGGCTTGTTCAGAGATGGCGTGGTAATCCTCAAAGAGCCGCTACGGTGTTTTTTACGTGTTAATTAATGGCAACTGTGCACATTAGGGACGTACTGACCACTGTGTGTCTTACACTTAATGTCATCAAACTTAACAAAAACGCCACGGTTTTACCGCGTATTACATGAACGAGAAATACATGCTGTCATGTACGTAGAGCCCTATCTATTTGCTACACGTCCCCGATCGGGATTCAAACACCGAATCAGATTCTCTTATAATATGAAGACAACATTAGGACTACAAACTAATGTCCCACAGTGCCACATTCACAGTTTATCTATGCTTTAAGAATCTACTTGAATGTAGTAAATTGAATTTCATTTCTTCCGATTTTCAATCCGATCTCATATCGATTTGTGTTCTTCTATGTCTAAATTCTTAAATTACATGGACATTTTGCAGTAACATGATCAAGCTAAAATTATGGTCATTTTTTTTTAAAGAGAAGAAAAACGGGTCATTTACCGTATCTATCAATGAGATCATCAGCGTTGCTCCAGTTCCCGACGATGGAGGTCCAGTTTTCACAGTATTGACAGTCAAGTGTGCCATCTGTAAGAACACAGGACTGGTTGAAGGTCCCGTAGTAAGACCAGGTGCGGCGGTTAAAGCAGTCCCATTGACCTGAAATTGATGATGAAATTGTGTTTATTATTAAATAAAAGACGTGGCAAGATAACCCCACTTTCATTCCAACATTTACAAACTTCATTCCACTTGATTTACACCACCAAAAAAATCAAGTATACTTCCCGTCTCTCTTTATTGCCGGCATTCCCGACCCCCTCACCCCCGCCCCTCACGCTCCTCTCTTTCTCTTTATATAATATATATATATATATATATATATATCTCCCTCTCTCTCTCTCTCGCTCTCTCTCTCTCCCGTTTCACACCCCCCTTGCGCCTCTCCCTAACTAACGCCCCCTAAATACCTAACCATTATTAACTGCGATTCTGTACATGTATTGATGTATAATTCGCTTTGACGTAACTGTCCTAAATGACGCCCTTGGGCGGTCATGCGCCAGCTCATGTAGAGCAATTTAAACAACAAAATAACAATAATTGAATGAAAAATGCTCGTAAATAAAAGCGTTGAGACAAAGGCTGTGGGCTGCAGACCCTCTCCCGATGAACTTTTGAGTGAGTGAAACAACCATCACCTTCTGCTTGTGCAGCGAAGTTACTTCCATGTTCAATTAATAATGTGCCCAGAATGACTATATATATTACGCTTTTAAACTAAAAACAATGCTGTTGTATGTAGTCATTAAACACCAGGCTGATCGAACAATGTTTTTGTTTAATCTCGTAATTTTGTTTTTTATCATAATGATGTTCATTTTGAAAGGGTAAAGGTAGTGAATGTAAATGAATCACTGTTTTACTCACCATTAGACGAACCAGAATAACTGATGATTACAATGAAGCATGAAAGCAGAAGAACAGGTAGACGAGATCCCCTATAGCAAATCATTGTGATCAGTTATTCCTGCATGGTCTATAAACTTGTAAACATTCAAACTTTGCTTTCTGTTTCGATAAGTATTGTTCCTCATGAAAACAGAATACCATAGTCCAAATTGACCTTGAAGAAAAAATGTGTCGACACGCAAGTCAGATCAGTCTCACTGAGTAACACGCAATGATGTGTTGAATTCATAAAAACTGATGTAAAATGATCACATACTGTCTTCATGAAGTACCGTATCGAATGTAGCCAAAAGTAATCAAATGCGATCTATGAGAATAATGGTATAATTCCCCTCTTATTGGTATCAATATGTTTACATCCATGCGTGCCCGATCGCGCAGATCCAGCTAGTGCCATCCCCTACCACTGCAAAGAGTCTCTCTGAAGCGAACTCAATGGTCGTCTCCTATTTGTGGTCATGAAAGCATGCAAAGAGACACAACACGGATTTTTCTTTTCTTTCTGCCAGTGTGATGTTACGGTACGGTTCCTATTTGGAGTCCGATACAGAATTGTCTGAGCAATCTTTCATATCCATGGCCCTGGGAAGCGGGGGTGCTGGGGGTGGTAATTGTGACCCAAAATGACAGACCTCCCCCTCCCCCCAATACCGATCGACAAAATTTTTCAAATTATGAAACACAAACAAAAATACATCTTCTTACCCCCCCCCCCCCCCCCCCCGCTTATTCAACGGTTGGCTGAGTCGTTGCGAACATTTCGCAGTATATATATCTCAGCAGCCCCGGTGAAAAAAAAATCGTTCCTAGGGCCCTGTTCATATCCCAAGTGGCGTAATGAGCAAAAACGTTTGGGGGGGGGGCTGACAAAAAACAAATCCGCATCACCCCACTCTAACATGCAGGCCCCGCTGAACGTTTTTCAAAGTGGGGTCTAGGGGCAAAGCCCCATCAGGGGGTCAGGGGGCGGAGCAGTGGCGGATCCAGGGGGGGGGCCCGGGGGGCCCGGGCCCCCCCCCCTTGAGAAAAAAATCATGTAAAATCACGTGATTTTTACCTTTTTGGGGGGTTGGGCCCCCCCCCCCCTGGCGCTCAAGGGGGGGGGGGTGCAAATTGAAAAATTTTTGAGGATCAAAAAAAAAAAAAAATGTGCTCACTACCCCCCCCCCCCCCCCCCCCCCCCCCCCCCCCCCCCCCACTGAGCGAATTTTTGGCCGGCGCGATTTTCAAATTTTCGGGAGCGAAAAAAAAAAAAAGTTGGGCCCCCTCCCCTAAGAAATCCTGGATCCGCGCCTGGGGCGGAGCCCCGAAGCTCAATGGGTATGGGCATCAGTGGTGGACCCAAGAGTTTCTTACGGGGGTGGCATGGGGTGAAATACATGTAAAACCTGATGAAGCGACAGAGCGAGGCTTTAGCGGGGAGGGAGCGGAACAACCAATTTTCGCCCATCCCGTGCTTAGCGCGGAAGCTTTTATGTTTCATTAAATTATTAGAGAAAGAGGTCGATTCGTTGTACTGTTTTCGACTTACAATCCTTGTCCGAATTCAGTTTCCTCCCTCCCGCGCAAAGCGCGGAAGCTTTGACATTTCATTAGATTATTAGAGAAAGAGACGATTCTTTAAATGATTTTTTTACTCTTAATCTTTGTCTGAATTCAGTACTTGGTCATGGTTCAATTTTATTTGGGGGGGCTGGCGCCCCCCAAGCCCCCCCCCCCACCAGTACGCCAGTGCATATCCCATTCCAAGGTCATGCAGAATTACAGTAGTTGTTAAAAAGTTCCGCGACCTTTCGAGTACTATTGCTCGTTCTGTTATTGTGCGCTTCTGATGAGTGTGTATCATTAGGAAAAAACACGCTTTTACAGAGAAACTCCACCCTGATGATAAATTGGTTTCAATAAAAGTAGAAAAATGAGAGGAACAAATTAATGAAAGTTTGACCAGTATCCGCTTTAAAAAAGGAAAGTTATGAGTTGTTTTATGTTGTCATAATTATGTGAAACACAAATTGGCAACACTGTGACGTATTTTGTGAGCTCCCCTCCAATTTGCTCTGTACAGAAAATGTCATAAGCTTTTATTTTCTCAGAAATTGATGACGAAATAGATCTGTTTCATACAGGAGCTGTATAAAAACATTTTTTTAATAATCATAATTAGGGTGAAAGTATGATGGAAAATTTCCATAGAACAGGGTAAATGGGAGGGGAGCTCGCAAAATACGTCACAGAGTTGTCAATATGTGTTTGATTGATTACATCTTCAAAAATGCAAAATATTCGTATGTCTAATCGATTTTTGCTAAAATTACCACCGACCTGCGTCTCGAATGTTTCTACTTCTATTCAGGGTTGACTTCCCCTTAAAAAAGTCTTTCTAAGGCGATTAATCGCTTAGGACATCGTTTTTCAACCGGAATGCCACAGGACTTATCGAAGGGTGCAGCGAGAATATAAAATAAAAGTAGGAATAACATCGATTTCGCGAAAACCAAAACATTAGAAACACTAGACTAATTTTATGAGAAAATAGGTTTTATATATTAATATATGTGTGCGCACGCGTGTGCGTGTGTGTGTGTGTGTGTTTGTGTGTGTTGTGGTGCGTGGCTGTGTGTGTGTGTGTCTCTCTCTCTCTCTCTCTCTCTCTCTCTCTTTCTCCTCGCTTACTTTCTTCGCTCACAGCTATTACAATTTAAAGCGCTTAGCAATTATTAATATATTTTAATTTTGTTTTTTAGAAATTACATTTTTTTACCACACTCGTTCGTTTATTCGCTTTAGAAATAGGATAATGTTGGGCAATGAGATGCCCGATCATATCCTCATGTTTGTATATCGCGGCCTTGACCGAATATATGATTTATGTATTCATGTGTATTCGGCGGCGAGGTATATACCCGCATACATTATTTCATATCTTATCTTAGTTGTCGTTCGTGTTTCCTTAGATCAAGATAGTTATGTAAAGTTCCTTAATTTAATTTAATTAACTTAAGTTCTTCCATCGCCCGATGGCTGCGATGGCCTTCTCATTAACAAGGGCCAGGTCTTCATCTGTGCAACCCGTTCCGCCGCACTGCAAGATGTGGTCCATCGTCGGAGTCTCTCCACAGTCGTCGCAGAGAGTATCTTCTTCATGGGCATAGCCCCATCTTGCCATGATACATCTTATCTGGTGTGCCATGATTACGAAAATAAATTTTTACAATAAAAGCAGAATCTTCTTTTTAAAGTAACAAAATGCGCCCTTATGTGTGCATAAGGCAATTGACGATTGTCAGAGTGATGCAAAATGATTCTTCTGCGATGAATTTGGGATTGGGATGACCGTGACGCAAAACTGTAATATTTCTTTAAAAAAAGGTTGAATAGGAAAAGGGACACAATGCGCGTAAGTTAAACAGTCAAGTATTCATACGGGTGACATCATTTGGATGTGGTTGTCTATTTGGTTGTTGTTTTTTTTTTTTATTATCATCATTATGTAAAAGCCTACATTTTAATGACGCCCATAAGGCAGTCATTCGGAATGAGGGCAATACTTCGAAAAAGACAATATGGGTTCAGTTATGAACTTCTAAATGAAAAGATCAATTTGTATAAATATATGCTGACAATCTCACTACTACTACAGCTACTTCTACGTCCTCCTTCTTCTCCTTCATATTACTACCACAGTACTACTTCTTCTACTACTACTACTACTAATACGGCTGCTGCTACTACTACTACTACTACCAGGCGCATACGCAGCGGGGGGGGGGGGGGTTAGGGGGTTGAACGCCCCCCCCCCCTCCATTTTTTTTAAGTGTGTGATTTTTGATGACACCCCCCTCATTTTTTTTAAATAAATAATTTTAAAAAAATTGTACCAAAGGGTGACCCCCATAAGGTGACCTTAACCCCCCCCCCCGAGTCGTTGCGAAATTTTTGGGATCAACAAAAAAAATGTGCTCTTACCCCCTTTATCAGCGTGAATTGTGTAGATTCTTATTTCTAACAGATGTTTAAAAAATAAATCTTGTTGAAAATAACTGAATTAAATTATCATTTAAAAAGAGGAATATAGATCATTAAAATGAAGCAGATTCTGTAATAATTCGGTACTGATTCAAGCATACTATATCACCATGGTTATTCTATATATTATGTTTGTAAATCAGATTGCCAATATTTTGATGGTCCCCGTGGTATGTGAAACGAAAGATAACTGAGCTCACATCGTTATCATTTCCACATCAATTTTCCTATTAACCGTTCACCAAGTTATTCTATTTCTGGTTCCTTTCATCCTTTCGTGTTGTTGTACATACATTTTGTATGCCTTTTGACAAATTAATACTGCAAAATGAAGTACTTCTTCGGCATAGCATGGGATACAGTAGAAGCTAATTAAAGGTAAAGTTGAGTTCTGGTAACGCGATGGCATTGTTAAAGAAACTGTCTAGAAACAATAGGAAAAGGTCGGGATGGAGCATAATCATTGGTGCAGGTTATACTGCAAGGTTTTGAATTTATCAGAGTGATCAGAAATCGATTCAGTCTTGATGAAAGTCACATACACTATACATACATGTGACATTAACGTTTGGTGAAATATAATTTCAGCTATTTTTTTTTTGTCATTTTGCGAATATGAGGTAATTTGAAGCGTATCTGGGCACATATACCTCCTGGACAACTTCCCCCCGGATAACCAACCCTAGGAAAATTACCCCCAAGGATGACTACCCCCCGGGACAATTACCCTCTAGGTTGATTATCCCTCAGCTAAGTACCTCTGGGATAACCACCCTCTAGGACAACTACCCCGGACAACTACCCCCAGTGGCGGATCCAGGGGGAAAAAATGTGTATTTTTACATTTTTTAACGTTGATTTTACCTTTTTATGGAGATGCCCCCCCCCCCCTGGCGCTCAAGGGGGGGGGGGTGCAAATTTTCAAATTTTCGAGGACCAAAAAAAAAAAAATGTGCTCACTATAAATCATAATGTTTCACCTGTTAGGCCTGTGTGAAACAATACTTGTTTTCGTGCAATTATATACTGATCGTTTTCCTACATCCTACCAAGGCGTTATTGATCCTACCTGCAACTTTGCTTCGAAGAGCGATGTATCTATTCTACAAAATTAAGTGTCTAAAAGATGAAGATCAGGTGACTGCTTCGCTAATGATATATGATCTGCCCTTCACTTCTTTGCTAGTGATATATGAGCTGCCCTTCACTTCTTTGCTAGTGATATATGAGCTGCCCTTCACTGCTTTTGTTCTGATATTTTCGCGCCTGGGATTCACTTTACTCCGGCTTCACATTAACTATTTAATCCACTTCAACGGTTCAAGGTTTCTGGGGTATTTTTCCTCCATGTGATCT